GACACCCTCACCTTCCCCGTATCTAGGCCATTCTACCCCGTGGGAGGGAGTTGGGCAATGTCTGTAGGACTGAGCGGGTGGTCACAGGTTGGAGGGGCAACTATGAGAGAAAGCTGAAAAGGAAATAAGAGAAAAAGAAAACACTGGAGCACACTCAGGAACTGTGTTAACATCATTCAGGTTTGCAAATTATCTTTCTTCTTCACTTCCTGTCCCTTCCTTTCTCTTTCCGAATGTCTCCCGCATCTCCATCCGTCCCTACATCCCACCTTTCCACTTAGCATGCACCCAGCAGCAGCTAACCTAGTAGCCACTAAGAGACAGGAGGTGGGGGGCTTTGGAGGGTTTGTCACCGCACCCACCCAGGAAACTTCCCAGGGCCTCTCACGCTGTCTGCCTAGGATGCTCTAGCTCCTCTCTGCCTCTCCTGCCCTCGGCAAGGTCTCTCCAAGCCCAGAGTCAGGCAGTTGGTGTGGGGCAGGAGCCCGGTATAATTCACCTTTGAAAAATGGAAAGACCACATTTGGATTCCAATGCAAGGCACCCTCTCAAGTTTCCCCAGCTTTTAACTGAGTTAAAGAGAGGAACTCCGAGAGAGAGAGAGAGAGAGAGAGAGAGAGAGAGAGAGAGAATAAGAGGAACTCTGTGTGTGTGTGTGTGTGTGTGTGTGTGTGTGTGTGTGTGTGAGAGAGAGAGAGAGAGAGAGAGAGAGAGATCGATCTTGGGTAGAGGGTGAATTTTTGGTGGCAGTATAAGTCGTTCCCCTTATGTAGAGGGGCTCTTTCATTGTTCTTCCAATCATCACCTGAATGTGGCTGAGTCAGGGTGGAGAAAAAGCCTCCAGGACCAAGCTTAGCAGCCAGAAAATCAGGGGGACATTTAAGGAAGAGGTACCCAGGGCACAGGGATACTGTGAGAGATGGAAGGAAAGATTTGTGTGGGGAGAAAAGGCTTATTCCAAGAGCTGGGGTTTGAAAGAGGAGTTTGGGGCATTCTAAGCAGAAATGAATCAGGTCAGGCCCCTAACCCTTTGTTTCTCATGTTGCACCACTTCTTGATTCTTAGTTCCCTGCACACAACCTCTACAGAAAAGATTAGGCACAGAAACTGGGGTAAAGAAAACATATGTGTAGGAAGTGTGTCATAATTCCCGATTCCATGTCCTGAGAACAGGGATGGAGAGCAGAATGAAGTGGGGGGTGGGGGGGGGAGGCTGAGGTAGGTGAGCACACACACACACACACACACACACACACACACACCGGTGTGTGCAATTCACACACTAACGGGAGGTAAGCAGATATGTCAACATAGTATTATATGTATGCATCTAACATGGATGTGAGTTTTAACAGATAGAGACAGGCAGGTGTCCATGCTCACACACATGAGGATGAAGGTCATGCTGAGGAATCAACCTCACAAGAATGACTTCTAGGTAGTGGCTTCTAGAATTTTCTTGATATGTTCCCTGGACTCTGGGAGGTTCCAGGAAGCTTCTCACCACCTTTCCCACCGCCACTCTGATCTCTAAACAAAGCCAACAGGTGTCAGGGAGACAAAAGGCACGGAGGACGGCAGAACAGGCCAGCCGGGCAGGGGGAGTCGGGCTGTGGGCTCATCTCTGCTTTGCTTTCTCCAGTTTCTATTTGTCCTTCATGTGCTCTCTGTAGCAGTTTCTCTTCTTTCCTGACCTGCTAAGCCATCTCTTCTGGTGTTTCGGGTTTAGCTGCTCCCCTCCTATTCCGGTCCCCTTTCTCTCCCCCCTGGGAAGAGATGGCGGTGACCTCCCACCTGGAGAAAACACCTGTGCGCCCTGAGGATGTTTGTACATCACCCACTTACTCCCCAAGCCAGGCAGAGCAGCAGCAGCCAGCAGGGCAATCTGGCGTGAAATCCATCTATCTCTGTCTCTGTCTCCATTTTCCTTCCTCTCCTCGACGTCTCCAGACAAAGTAAGAGACCACCAGCTTCATAAAAGCAGCACAGACTTTAATTCAGGTTGGCAGGTAGGAAGGGAGCTAAGATTTTCCTCCCAGGGCGTCCGGAGGAGAGGACTGTCTTGCTGGGAGGGCCAAGGAGGGCACGGCCCTGCGAGTCGCCCGGTGGCAGAACAAGGCCAGGAGCAGGGGCATGGCCGCGCAGTGCAGGATCGCCAGCACTTCCGCCAGGTGCAGCAGCAGGTCCAGCGCCTGCTGGGTCGGACAGGACGACAGCACCAAGAACCTGGACCTCACTAGGAAGTCCAATCCCCACAGCACTCCGTGAGGCCACCAGAAAATGAACCAGAGCCACAGCACGTCAACCCAGGGACACGGCCCCCTGCCCAAGGCCCTTTTCACCCCCTTGGCTCCCAATAAACCCAGTGGCAACAAGACAAAGATGGCAAAACAGCTGGCAGCGTGCAGAAACTTCCAAATGCCCTGGCCGGGTGACAAGGAGCAGAATCCATTGGAGGTGTCACTGGCCAGGGTGATGGGCAGCGCCAGGAGGATGGCCAGTCCCCAAAGTCCCACCATGAGCCCCAGGATGAGGCGTGGGACCGGGCCTGCACCCAGTTTGGGACCCAGGCAGGCATGGCAGCCTATCAGCAGAGCTTGGGCAAAGGCGGAGCCATACCAGACTAAGTGGGCCAGGTGACACACGTAGGTGTTGTGGGCACCGCGGAGCCCTGGTGCCAGGACGGGCACCGCGATGCTGCAGAGGGCGCTGCCCACGGCTAACTGTGTGAGGAGCAGCTGCTGGCCAGGACAGAGCTGCCGGTGAAAGAGGGGTCTGAGCAGAGCGAAGAGGACAGCCGCACTGGTCAGGATGCCCAGGACGCTGGCGAGGACGTAGAAAGGCAGCGAGGACTCGTCCAGCAGGTTGCAGGAGCGGCAGGGGGCAGCTGCGTCCATTCCAGAGTAGTCATAGGTCCCAGTATAATTCAACTCATCGTAGTCAAAGGAAAAGCTGCTCGAACTGTTGTCAGTGGAGGAGTCCACCTGGAGGGTCCCCGGAGGGACAATCACACATCTAGTTACCCCACTGGTCTCTGGGGAATGAGAGGCGAGGGGAGGGGAGGGAGGGAGACAGAGGGGAGCCAGGGTGGAGAATACGGGGCTGGAGTGGGGATGCAGTGGGGCTGATGGGAAAGGACATCGCAGTGGAGACTGGGGAGCCTGCAGAGGCAGAGGCATGGGTCAGCCAGGGGAGGGCAGGGGAGCCCCAGGGAGAGCAGCCAGGGGCCTGGATGGTCCTGATTGAAAGACAAATGAGGAGGAAAAGCATAGGGACCTGGAGTCGGAGGTAAGGAGAGGGGAGAGGGAAGGGATACGAGATGAGGAGGGAAAGAATGAAACAGACAGGGGGAAACAGAGGGGTAGGAGGGGCAGAGCTGTGGGTTCCGCCCCACACTCACCGGGTGCAGGCAGTTCCCCATGACACTGCTGGGCTCACACAGGCCGAGAGGGAGGCCGGGCAGCTCTGTCACCTGCTGTGGTTCCAAGATAAGCGCCGGGCTAATGAAGGCCATCAGTTCTGGGCAGGGCCCTTGGGTGGCACGGGGTGGGGGCACTCAGGAAGCCTTCACCCCACGCCCACTGCCTGTCTAAGCTTGAGGCCCACACAGGGCATTGGCCTTCGGCTTCCTGTTTGGAGGTCGGATCCCCCTGGTGGGGTCCCGCACTTGGGAAAGGAAGGAGGTGGGGGCCAGAAGGTGGTACTTTCCCGAAGGTGGAAAGGGAGGCTGAGAAGCCAAGGGCTTTCCAGCAAGGATTCCTTGGGTTCAAGGAAGGAAGAGGGGCCAGGGGTGAAGTGTGAGGCAGAGATAAGAGGCATGCTGGGAAGTTGGAGGGAAAGGCAACTGATGACGCTCACTGCTCCTCCACCCCTTGAACCTGAGCCAGTGAAAGATGGTTCAAAAGCCACGCGTTTGTGGGAGGAGTGCTCGTGGTGCAGGGCTGGGTCCTGAGATGCTGAGGCTGGGCCCTCTGTGTAGGAGCCTGGGAGTGAGAAGGGCTCATTTACCTGTGGGGTGGCCTGTGCCGTGTGCCTGTGGGGTGGCATGTGCCGTGTACCTGTGGGGTGGCGTGTGCCGTGTACCTGCGCACACGCCTGACGCAGGTGTCTGGATCTGGGGGTTTCACTGTGGGAGCGGGGAGGGCTGCCTACTGAAGCTACTGCAGGGCGTGACTGGGCATGCGCCTCATCACCTCTGGGTACAGCGAAGGCACCTTCCAGAACAAGCAGGACACGTGGTCTGAAAGGTAGACAGGCTCTGGGGACAATGGGACAGCGTCTTTTCAAGGGGCCTGTGGCCTCTGGAGGAACCTCTATTCGTGTCCCTGGGGGACCCAGAGGCTGTGCAGCTGCTGCACCGGCGAGGACCTCAGCCCTGTGTCAAGTTCCTCATGTGGGGAGAGGCCCTTTCTCTCCAGATGGCGACAGAGTGTCTCCCGGGGAGGGTCCCCTAAGCTGACACACGCCGGCTCTTAGGTAACCCCTTTCCCCCAGGTGTTTTCCCAGGGTCTCTGCTGATTCGTCCCCCTCCGCCCCCACATTCTATTTCTTCAGTTAGGGAGGCTTAGGCTGGACATCGGAAGAGATGAGTAATGGTGTGTCTGGGTCCGAATGGGGAGGTAGAGGGGCTGCTTAGGCGACACTGTTTCGTTGGTCCAAGGAGGCATGTGGTGTTTCAACTCCAGTCCTGCCAGGGACCTCCTTCCCATGCCCACGGGGCCCTGCAGGCGGAGTAGGGAAGCCCAGGGGCGAGAGAATGGGAGCCTTACAAAGACCATCCCCGCATCTCCCGGGACACTAGCTCAGGTTTACCATGG